GCACCAACAAACAGATAATCAGAGAGAATCAACTCTAGCCTCTAGCCTCTAGCACTGTGCCTACTGCTCAGCTGAAGAATGGAGGCATCTCCCCAGGGGGGAGGGGGCATGATAGTGGTGAGTTAAGCGTGTCATAGTGATTTGGGTATCCCCGAGTTTTGGGTAAACGGGGATACCCAGATCACTGTGACAGCAGGAATTGTCTCGTTCCCTCGAGGGAGAGATTGAGTTCCAGTTTGCGTACTGAAGACTTTAGTGTTGCCCCTTTGTAACGTCTGCAGGATGACAGGTAGGGTATGTCAAAGTGTTCGCTTCGGTCTTATCCTTTTGCCTGGAATCCGCCGTGCGGGGGGGGGGGGGGGGGGGGGGNAAAGACCATAAGTTGCCAAAAAAATGCTCTAAAACAAAAGTTGCTCAAAAGTTGCTCGAAAGGCCAAAAGTTGCCAAAAAGTTGCCGAGCAACTTGTGTAAAAGCCTAGGGGGGGGAATGAGAAAAATAAAAAACTTGTTATAATGCGTGAATTCTAAGGCGAAGAACAACAGTGTTATGCTGGAGCTTGAAGGTAATGTAGATATCATATAAACACGGTTTTGACGACCATAAACACGCCAATTCACCTTCTTTCTTGAATGACTAAACTGCTTTGGTAACAGCTGCATAGCTTATTAGGACACTGCATTTTCTGACTTTTTTGGTCACTGGTTAAAACGTAGGTGCTGATTGGTGAATGAAATTCCGGGGGGGGGAACTCCCATATAAAAAGGACGGGCTAAAAACGCGGTTTTGGCACCTATTGGGGTGTTCAGCCTCAAAAGGTCCACAGCGGGAGCTTTTGCGGTACCTCGCAGGGTATTGAGCCGAAAAAGTATGACAGGAGATAATTTGTTGTTTTATTTAATAGGGGTGAGAAACATTTCAAGACACACCCACAAAGCAAGATCTTGTTATCTCTTAGAGGCTCTTTTCAAAATTTCCGATGAGCACTCCTGTCGTTTTTATATGAGAGTCTCCCTCCCGGGATGTAATTATTGCATTCGAACTTTGTCGTGTAGAAGACGCATACCTCTACGATCCTTACGTGCGGCAAAAAGTTCATGGAAAGCTTTTTTTTGCCCGTTTTTTTTCCTTCTGAGAAAAATGAATGAAAATCATATCGTAAGGAACTGCACACAACGACATGAACTACAGTCTAAATTTAGCCCGATTTTGTCGTTTTGTCGCATACGACAAAAATTGGGCTTTGTCACTCGATTGTCACCAAGATGCCTTACACGACCCCTGCGACAATCGCAGCGACAGACAACGTTAATTGATGAAAGTTGTAAGAAATACTTGCATTGCATAACGCGAGCAGCGAGCATTAATGAGACCCATTGAACAAAGTTGTGTAATAGGTCTAATAGGTCCTCGGAAATGTTTACAACACTTAGCTTGGGTGTTAAGTTTCAGGCGTTACACATGCTGATAACACAGGGTCAAACCTTGTTTTATGAAGAAGCTGTTCAGTGTACAGTCGAGATAATCCACCTTCTCCCACAGCTTCAGGGCACCAAGTGTCAAGTTTGCAAAATGTGTTTACAACTGTTTCGTGTTAAATTGTAACCATCATATCCTTTTAAATTATTAACGAAACAGCTTAAAAGCACCGGCTGGTTGACATCATAATTCATCATTTCAGAAGAATACTAGAGTTCTGGGTTTGTTGTTTGAGCTGTATGTGCAGATCCAAGACAAGCAACAAAGGGAAAAACATAGTATTCAACTGCGTATTTTTTTTCCGGATCCGTGATCGGGCGAAAACGCTAAACGCCTGCAACTTTAATCACGACTGGTGCGATTTGTGAGCAGATACATTTTATGCATGCAAATGTCAACCAAACTAACAAATTGGGTCAAATTGTTAATTGATGCATTGGTGATTGTCCGGTTGTCAAAAGCGGTAAATAGTTACATTGATAACAAGTTCACTGAAATACATTTGAGTATGGCAACCGCGTGTTTTCATATGGACTCAGCAAGAAGTGTTATCCGTTAAATTAACTACAAACTGTTCCATATGATTCCAGTTCATTCTGCTTTGTAATATTTTCAGAACCCATTCGTGGCTAATCGTGTGAGGGCAGGCGATGACGTCATATTCTACCCACTCATTTGACTCCTTCACTTGATGATAAGGGTTTCGTGTTACTACAAAATCACAATAAAAGACTGCGGGAGAGTATGTGGTCAACCAACAAAACAACTGTTCAAAACAAAGGGAATCAAAAGCACCTAGCCGAAACATTCGATCAACAGACTTGGGTATCAAGATGAAGTTTCATGTCTTTGTATTGATGTTACTCTCAGTAACACAGTATTCTATAGCACGGAGTGTGGTGCAACACGGCTCGCAGCAAAGAAACGGGTGGACTGCTGAAAAACGAGGTGGGTTTCAATATTGCTTCCGAGAGCATTTAGTGAGAAGACCAAAACGAACGGCTTAAAACAATTAGGTAATCATAGAAATAAGGCGTTGCTAAGATTTGACAGTAAAGCTTATTAGTGAAAAAGCTTTTCAGATAACCTCAGCATTATTGATAAATGAACTCGACTTAAGGCCAAGTAAAAGTGTTATGCCTACTGCAGTCTATACTTCTCATTAAAAGTTATTATGTAAACTCTTTTTACCATGATCATCCACCGATCAATAATTAATTTACATGACTTATCTCAATTTACATGGTTTAACTCAAGACAACATGGAGTTGTTTTCTATTCAAGAGATACAATAGACGATTATTTCAGGTTTATTTGTATTATAAAAGAAACTTCGCGTGGCTTCATTGTATTGTTTTCACTGGCGTTTGTATTTCACTACTGCTAGACCTTTAACACCGTAAATGTCGCAATCTTTTCTTTGATAAACTGTTATTAGATGTGATAATTGTTCTTTGAATAATTTTCATGATCATGAAGTCTATAGCGTTTTGAAAAGTAAACCATCGCTAGACGATTCCAGAAGGTGGGTTATTTGGCCAGCCATCGAGATCAACCGTCCGTGAATTCCAACTTGTATAAGAGTAAAACATGTTGAAGCAAAGGAATTTTATTCAAGCTCCTATGTATCACGTCTTTTGTCACATTAATATCTACCCTCGCAATGCAATCATGTCCGGGACAATGCCCTGACCCGATGCTGGTGAAACTTTATAGTGCAGCAAGTCTGTTCCTGGGTGTTACCAAAAGCAATCTTGGAGTACCGACAGTTCAAAGAATAAAATTCCATGAAGCGCATCACGTTATCAAATTCTTACCAAACGAGCCAAGAAATGTCATAATGGATCCTTTCTTAACGGATTCAGTTGGTTAATTATGGATCATTCTTAGTCTAATTTGATTCAATTTGCTTGACAGTGTTGCTATTTTATTATTATGAATTGTTTTGTTACAAGTCATCTTAAGTTGTCATGCTTGACAACTTTTCACCCTATTATACATGCTTACAATCGCCTGCTCTCTTTTCCGTTGCCGTAGATATTCAACGAGGACGTAAATTTCAATTAGCGATTAAACAGTTACATAAGGTCTCAACTAGCTTCAGTCAACAAAAGCCCACAACTGGCAATTCACACGCACGTGAGCGGTTTGCGACAGCCAAGGGCGGACTGAGAATTATGACAACAATTTGTAAGAAGATTGGAGATGTCAGTGTTATTTCCAATATATCATTTTAAATTAAAAGACGTGATGATAACTGTTCCATCTCTTGCCACTTTTAAACGCTGGAAAGGACAACAACAACCGTTTAGGTAAGGCAAACATATTCCGGAAGTTCCTAGCCTCCGACGCAGTGCATACGTGCCTTGGCCCCGACCCAAAGGACGTTTGCAATGGTTAAGGCGTCCATCTGGCAGAAAATCAGGAATTTGTTTCCACGCGGTACAACTTGGTTGCATTTGAGAATATTTTGACAAGTCTACAACACGAATTTTTCGGATCAAGTAGGGCTAAAACTTGCTTGCGTTTATCGCATTCAACGCCACGGATATCGTTTTAAACCCCAACATCCAAGTCGCTACTATGATAAAACTGTTCACATTATTCCATGACTCTAGCGCCCACAACAAAAGTAGCTTGCGACTAAAACTGAGCCATCGTAATCGGTGGTAAGCGGTCGGAAATAATCCCAGAACATCGCAGAAATCTGATACATGTCCATTTTATTCCAAACAATTTCAGTATTACCTTTTTATCCTTGACTCCCGGGGGAGAGGGGTTACTCTACAAAGTTTTATACTGGGAGGTTCCGCCCCCGGGTCAAACCCCTTACCCTTTTGTATACCATTTTGACAGAAAAGGTACCCCTTTAACATACCTACTGAAGAACACTGCATCCCTTTTCTAAACCCTTGGAGAGGAGTTAACGGACAATATTACGGAAAAACATCAAGTATTACATGATACTCGGCTGGGATAAGGACGGTCTGTTCAGATTTCCCTACCCTTTAGTAAACTTCAACTTGTGAAATCCCTAGCCTTAAATTTAAGCAAGACTATCTACTACATGATTGAAACTGGCGAGGACTGGCTTGAATTGAAAATATGTCAAGTGATACCTTCTCATTCGTGGGCTAAGTATCCTGTTACTTCCTGTGACTGACTATTGAAATGACAAGAAATATGATCGGGTAGTCTTTCATCACAATTAACAAGAATATTAGGCGCACATATCAGTTGCAGCCCTTCTACGCTGGCACAGTAATCCGTCGCACGGCAGTTCTAAGTACGCAAAAATAACGCAGCCATTTATTGCTATTCAAGATTTTGTGCTAGTACTTCACGTCTCTATCTACACCTAATTGGCATTAAAAGTCTAAAAATATTTTAGGGACAGTTACTTTGGAGTGGTAAAGG